AAAATTCCTCAACCTGAAGCATCTATGAAAAACTCGCAGCTAACAGCACACTTGATGGTGAAAGAATAAATGCTTTCCTCCTAAAATCAAGGATAAGACAAAGATGTCTGTTCTTGCCACTTCTATCCAATATTATACTAGCAGTGCTGGCTAAGCACTTAGGCAAGAACAAGCAAAAAGAATCCAGAGTGGAAAGGAAGAAGTCAAACTATTTCTATTCACAGATGCACAATGTTGTATATACAAACTCCGAAGGAAGGAAGGAAGGAAGGAAGGAAGGAAGGAAGGAAGGAAGGATGGAAGGAAGGGGAATACAAGATCAATATACAAAAATTATTTATATTTTATATACTAGCAATTAGCAATCCAAATGTTTATAGTAGCATCAAAAATAACAACTTAGGAAAATATCTAACCAAAGAAGTCAAGACTTGTACCCTGAAATCTATAAACATCAATGAAAAAAATTAAGGACCTGAACAAATGGAGAGACATCCCATGTTCATGGATTGGAAACCATTATATTGTTAAAATAGCAATATTCCCTATAAACACAACACAATCCCTATCAAAATTCCAGCTGTGTGTTTTGCTGATTATAAAATTCATATGGCATGCAAGAGACCTCAAGTAGACAAAATGATCTTGGAAAGGAACGGAGATGGGGCACTCACACATCCCAAATTCAAAACCGAGCTATAGTAATTAAGCTATGATAATCAAGATAATGTGGTACTGGCATAAGGCCAGACATATATATCAATGGAATAAAACTGAAAGTCTGAAAATAAAGTCTAATATTTACAGTCAATTACTTCTTAATAATTGTGCCAAGACCATTCATAGGGAAACAAGTCTTTTCAACAACTGTGCTTGGACAACTGGACATCCATATGTCAAAGAATGAAGCTGGACTCCTACAATGCACAATAGGCAAAAATGGTTGAAAGACCTAAAACTATAAGACACTTAAAACAGGTATGACTTGCAGTAGGTAATTTTTTTCCTTTAAAGATATACCAAAAAGCACAAATCACACACACACACACACACACACACAAAGAGAATTTGGACATCACCAAAATTGAAAACTTTGTGCTTCAAAGAGCACCGTCCAGAAAGTGAAAATACTATCCAAAGAATGGGAGAAAATATTTGCAAGTAATTTATCTGGTAAGGAACTTGCATCCAGAAAAAGAATTCAGTAATAAAAAGAACCCAATTAAGAAAAAGGTAAAGGATATGAATAGACATTTCTCCAAAGATGAACAAATGGCCAAAAGCACATGAAAAGATGCTCAACCTTATTAGCCATTAAGGAAATGCAAATCAAAACCATTAAATACTTCACTCTCACTAGGATGGCTAGAATAAAAGTGTCAGTAATAAGTGTTGGCCAGGATGTAGAGAAACTGGAACTCTCACACACTTGATGGAAATGTCAAATAGTACAGCCACTTTGGACAAGTTTGATAGTTCCTTGAAAGGAGTATGCATACGACCCAGGAATTTCACTCCTATGTACATAACCAAGACAAATAAAAACTGATATCCACATAGAAACCTGTACACAAATGTTCATAGTAGTAGTATTTATAATAGCCAACAAACAGAAATAATGCAAATATCCATCAAATGAGTGAACAAAAATACGGTATATCAATAAAATTAAATATTATTCAGCCATAAAAAGAAATGAAGTACTGATACATGCTACAACATAGATGCACCTTGAAAACCTTGTTCTAAGTGAAAAGTTAGACAAAAGGCCACACACTGCACGAATCCATTGATATGAAATGTCCCAAACAGGCGAATCTATAGACAGAAAGATTAGTGATTACCAGGGGCTTTGGTGTGTGTTTGTGTGGGGTATTGGGGAGACTGTTGAAGGGAGAATAAACAGTCACTCCTAATGGGTACAGGATTATTTTTTATAGTGATAAAAGTGCTCTGTATATAATGGTGATGATTGCACAATTTCATGAATATTCTAAAAGCCATGAATTGCACACTTCAAGAGTGAATTTTGTTATGTGGATTTTATCTTAATTAAAGCAAAAACAAAAATGAGGGAAGTACCCCTCCTCCACTTTGAGGTGGATGAGAGAGGTTCAACTCCTGCAAAAGCAATCATTATCTCCAACCTCTCAATGGACTCCTTTTAATTGGCAAATATTGAGCGAACCTATCTCAGTCTGTCTTGCACCAGGTTGTCTAGCATCTATATCTCAGCTTCACTGAATCCTAATAACCAGCAATGAGGTGGGCTTGGATATGATAAACCAAGCTGAGGGAAGGGCAGGGCCAGGACTGAGGACCAGTCATGACACTGAAGTCTGCACTCTTGACAGTTGTGTACCAGACACATGCTTATCCATTTCCTATGGTTTCCTAAAGACCAGAAGACAGCTAGGATGATTATTCCAGGTGCTGTTCAAACGAACCTAAGAATCCTGATTTGAGGGTTGATTTGTAGTAATGGTTATGAGGTTCTGGATAAACAGGCATTCATTCATTGTGGTGTTTCATTTAGTATAAAAAACAGTGTTTGGCAGAGGACTGTGCCTTGATAGACATGAGGGGCTGGCAATCATTGGGTGGTGCCTGCCCCTATCTCCACTGAGAGAAGTGTGGCCACAGACAACGTGGCTGCACAGAGGCTCCTGGTTGTGAGCACATCCAAAGGGTAGGGCTGGGGAAGTCCCACAATCTTGCTCTCAAGGACACCTGTCCTTTTCATCCTTTCCCTCTTACTGTCTTTCCATGGGTTGGAACAGTCATCGATCCAGGGGAGCCACTTCCTCAAGAAGCAAGTCCTTTAGCCACAGATATTTAAATATTTAATAAAAAAAACAAACTTTTTTTGTGGGGGGGGGAGTGTGGGGGAGACAAGGAGAAAGAGGCCATCTTTAGTGAAAAAACAGGAAGCTTCATTGAACATTCTACTGCATGCTGAGCTGTTTTCAATCACCCAAGAGGTTACAAGCTGGTGGAAAGATGATTAAAAAAAGTCTTTACTATGAATCTGCTCACATCCTGGTACTCCTCACTGTTTTGTAAGGAATGTGCCCCACAGAGTTGAACTACCATGGCAAGTGTGGGTTGCTGTGAGGTTACACAGGCATTTGGGGGTCCATGTTGGTGGTCCATGAAGTTTTTTATGGGTGCTTTTTAAATTTTGATTTGGAAGGGTACTTGAGAGGTATGAAATAAGCACAAGTGAAGACGTTGGGTGGAGATGCAGGGAGAAGTGCCTGTAACAGATGGCAAAATTGGAAAAGCATGTGGCGCCCAGTTTATGGAGGGCTTTGGATGCCAAGCTTGAAAAATATTCAAAGGGAAGCAAATTTTGAAGCAGAGGATATTAAATTAGCAAAATTATTTTAGCAGAATGAAAAAGATTGGAAGTTACAGCCAGGGTGGTTAGTTAGGAAGCTATTAAAAGCAACCAGGTGATTCAATGGACCAGGACCTGAAAGGAAGCATGATGAACAACTCTGGAGACTGGAGGGGAAAGGAATTGATAGGTACAAGCTGTGACAACTGAGGGATGAGGGATTTCGAGGACTAGGTTGAAAGTGATCCTGTTAAGGAAGAAACAAGTAACAGTAGGTAGAGACACAAGATGAAGTTCTGGTATTAACTTTGAGGTACCAGAAAGATTATCCTGGGGATAGGGTCTGAGCAAAAAGGAGTGGTTGAGTTTGACCAGAGAGAATTGGACAAGAACTTTAAGTAGAATTATAGTATCCATCCAAGATCTGGATGGTATACATCCAACTGAAAAAGGAACAGAGTAGCAGCCAAATTAAGTTCAAGGTGTTGGCAAGGTTTAACAGTTCATACTGGCAATTGGGAAGGTTGTGAGTATTCTTCAGGAGAGCATTTTCAGTGGCACAAAAATGGATTAGCAGCATTTCTCACAATGAGACACCTACATCAAAACCTTGCAGTGTTTAATAAACGCGAACCTACTAGATTTGAACAGGGAAGGGGGGAAAAGTCTTGGGACTTGGAATTTAACAGTCTTCCCCAGGAAATTCTTTATAGACTAGTAACATAGCGTAGAAGATGAGAGGGAGCAAATAGAAGTTTCTTTTTAATTCTTTGGTGGCTCACGGAAGGGGTGGGAAGGGTAGATGATCAAGAAGCTGGTAGAGGTTAAAAAAAATGTATATGTATATATATGAGAGGGGGGAGAGAGGGAGAGTGCGTGTGTGTTGTGAGAGAGTGAGCAGATAAGGGGATCAAGACTACAAATAAAGTAGTCTTAGGAAAACAATCCTTCTAAGAAACTGTTATGAAATTCTTGAGAAAAACCCAAAACGGGGACTGAAATCCCAGCAGTTGTGTTCTTATGGGAACAGGGAGTGATGTTGCTATGTCACAACCAATGAATGAGTATCAGCAAGTTCAGTTTGAAGCCTCATTTTCAAGGTTTTGTTTTTTGGATATTTATCTCCCTACACAGGTATGCATCCCAAAGTAAAGCTAGGGAAGCTGTAGTTGTATTTTATCACACAATTAACAAACCTAGGAGAGCAGTATATAGGGTGAGGAAATGCAACTCATTTGCTGAAGCTGCCAGGCTCCAGAAGAGTTTGGCAGCAGGTTGTATTTTTATGTTGCATGTTTTAAATTTTCTAAAATAACAAAATGTAAAAGAAAGTTTCTATTTCATTTGGAAAGCTAATTATTTTAGTTTATGGTTCATTTTTTCCCCCAGAGCTTCCTGCAAACTGTGGGCTGATTCACAGATAACCAAAATATGTAAGAGTGTACAGACAAAAAAGTACTTTAATAATAAGACATTTAGGGTAGAAGTAGTCATAGTCAAAATTTCTGTTTTCCTCTTCCTTGAGATACTGTTCAATGGCATTCTAGTAAACAGTAGTGAACAGGAGGCAATGGTAAGAGAAGTGGTTAACATACCCAGGGTAATTACTAAGAGAGTGAGAGCAGCTAGTATGGACAACCAATGACTTTTTCTCTTAAAATATTTTTAAGGGCAGGTTTATTTTGAACTGTTTGTTAAAAGTCTAGCTGATGTGAATTCTATATCTGATAACCTATACTCAATTACCATTCACAAACTTCATACAGATATGTTAATACATTTATAGAACTTCAATACTGTGATAATAGAACTTGAGAACTGAAGAGCACACATTTCTTCACGAATTTATTATATAAAATGCCCCCAGAGTATTTGATTTCTCTCCTTCTTTCATTATACACAAGCACATGAATGAGACGCTCTTTAAGATGACTGTAGTATCATGAGAGTCCCTTGCATCAAGGTAGTGTACATACCTTAACAGTGTTCTAAAGGCTGGCCCAGAAAACAACAACAACAACAAAAAAGTTACCTTATCACAAGATGGAAAGCACTATTTTCTTTTTCCTCTAAATTATGATGAAAAATGTCACTGTTTTATTTAGCATTATGGTACATAACAGATCTGTCTCAATTACTAAAATAATTAAAATAATCCTGAAAGATATCCTTTTTCCCCTCCAGTGATTTGAAAAGCTGTATTTTTCCTGCCAATTTCAAACAAATCATCAGGTTGATCTATCGTAGTCTGTTAAAACAATCATCAAAGCACAAGCTCAGCACATTAGCTGTATGTAGCTTGTAGTAAAAGGATATATCCATATGTCTCTCCTTAGTTAAAAATACATAATCCTTTTATTTTATATTGCAATAAAAGAAATTAACATCACAGACACAGAAGACTAGAAAGGGAAACTACTTACTTCTGAATGTCCAGTAATTTAAACCTATTTGTACTTTTCCACAGTACATGAAAGTAATATTTAACACTTCCTTTTTGAAGTAAAACTTAATCTTTGGGGATATACAATGTAAATAGGACTTAAGAGTAATAGTTCCACTCATTTCCAGGTCTGCTTAATGTATGATTAAGTAAAACAAGGCACAATAGCCATCCTTTCCATTATGTTGCAACACTGATCATGTGCCTTGATAAAATGGCTGATTAGACAAGATGATGGCAACATGAAGGGAAGACTTTGGATTGTCTATTTAAAATGCAGGTAATAAGTAATTAATAAAAAATTTATTTTAAGTGCACTTTCACATGCTTTGCGTTTATAATAAACAAACTTCCTAGCTTTCTTGCAACAGACTTGACTACCATTTCTTTTGGCCAAATGCACTTTTCCCCAGTAAACTTAAAACAACAACAATAACAACAACAACAACAACAACAAAATAATCCCTGTCCTTTCATAAACTAAGAAAGAGGATTGGCTACTGAAACAGTTCATTCCAAGACACATGAAGACGACATACTGTGGCATGAGTTGTTTTTAATTTGTTGTGCTGTTACTAAAGTTCTGAGGGCTGCAGTTAAAACATTCCAAGTTCTCCCTTCCATCTTTATTGATTTCAAGATTTTGCACAGAAAACTCTTTGGGGACTAGAACAGCAGCAATTGCATCACACTGTTTTCAAGACTTCAAGTTTCAAAGCAAATTGTTTAAAAAAAAAAAAACAAAAACACAGTTCCTGATTTGAGTTAGATACAGGGACGAAAATAGCACATACTTGAAGGTTACAGTCTACAAATGGTGGCAATGTTTTCCTTGGGAGAGTAGTTTTGTTGGTATATATTTTTTAAATACTCAAAAAGGCTCAACCTCAAGCAGTAATAAACACAAGCAAAAGTGATTTAACCCTTAAAATAAATATTCAGAAAAACCTCTCTGTACATACAAGTGAAAGAATAAGTAACACTTTCACGCAAAAAAAAAAAAAAAAAATAATAATAATAAAGGATTTGTTCATATAAGTAGCTGAAATCTGCTGTTCCAGCCCACATATCCCCAATAAAGAAGGGAGGCACAGACATAGGTGACTACTGTGGTTCACTATCTTACAGCCTTTTTGTACTGGGACACTATCACCACCAATTTTTTTATCCTTCTTGTTATATTTATTAAAATTTTAAATTTCTTTTTCTTTTTTTCATTTTTCTTTCTTTCTTTTCTTTTTCTTTTTTTTTTTTTACAGCATGCCAAATCCTTTGGCGTAAGTGATGGCCTTCAACAATCTTTCTTTAAGTTTTTCTTTGCTTGAATATTCCGGCAGTAAAAGGACATTAAAGCAAGTATGAGATGTAGGTAACCTAAATAGAGAGAGGGGGGAAAATAGGAAAATAAATTGTGGACAATGTGCTCAGTATTAAAAAATCCTACTTTTAGATGGTATGTATAGTTGAGATGGTTTGCAATGCAGAGTACAATTAATGCAACTCATAAACTTTGTTTTTCCTGTGCAACTACCAAATATGTTTGTTTTTATCTTATCTATTATTCAATACTAATGATGATAAAGATGATGACTGATGATAACATATTGTATACACCGAGTTATTATGACATACCAGATACTGTTTTAGGTATTCAACTGTTAGATCTAACTAAATCTTCTCACAATAAACCTATCATTATCCCCACTACAGAGTTGACATTACTGAGAAGTTAATTTACTCTAGGATGGAGACAATACTCAAACCTGGTTTCCAAGATTTCAAAGTCTGTGTTCTTTAATGCCAGTTACACATATTCTTGGCAATATGATTATATAAATGACTTAATAATAAATATAAATAAATTTACATTAAAGCCATTATACATCAAATAATGTGGAATACTAATAGAAATATTTCTATACATTTAAACCCTTAAATATGCTACTATTCAGGTATGATCCTTACTCAACAAAAACATTAACTTATACAATGAAGAGAGAAAATTAAATATCAAGATTATGAAATTGGATTCAAATGTTAAGAAATCTAGTGCTGAACAATTTTCTGAGCCTCAATTTAACCATTCTGAAATAGATTACATAATATGGCTTTTACAATTAAAAAAATTCTGAACTAAAAACTGAGTATCAATTTGCAAAATTCCAAAAGAAGTGAGCCCTGTAACAGTTTTGAAGTAGGCCAGTGTTTTAAAAATTTCAAACAGCAGCAGCAAAATATTCTCTGAACTACTAGTTCATGTGATTTGGAGAGTTCCACATAAAACTGTAAAAGTACTCAGAAGCTCCTGGACAGCTCCCATGTGTGTGATATGGAATGTAAGGTTTTTGGTATATAGTCACAACTTAATAATTACCTTTCTGTGTCTGGGCCATTTTTGGCTATAATCATCTTTAATTTTCCTAGTCCGCCCACAGGTGCTCTGTCTGTGCCTGTTGTAAACTGCAAGAAAAGTCTTTTCTGCTCATCTGTAAATGAATGAACGATTTCCCAGAACTCCCTAATGAGAAAAGACAGAATACTGATTTTAGTTTGGTATTCATTTATAACTAGTACTAGTATGAGTTTATGATTTATTAAAACACAGAGATAACTTGGAAGTTAGTATCAGAAACCCTAGACATTCATTCCTGCTCATCAAGGATCTACAAATTACTAATGCCAATTTATCTTACCCAAAACACTTTTTAAAAGCATAGTTAGTTCATGGCAACATTATCTAGAACAGGAAAAACTGGTAAACTGAAGTGTCCAAATAACAAGAAATAATTATGTAAACTATGGTATATTCATACTATATAATCAGTAACGAACAAAATACAAAATACAAAACCCAAATCCTGTAAAGTGAAAATATGAGATTTTTGGGGGAAAAGGTGATACAGATTAAGGACAAAAACCGCCCCCCAAAACCAAAAAACACACATACATGCCTAAGAGTAGTAATACAAAAGCATACATTTTATATATAAACCAGAACACTTGTGATTTTGTTTGCTATGGAAGTGGGGATAGGGGATAATGCTGATATTTCCGCTATATGTAATGATTTAGTCCCTGGCATTCCTAAAATCTATGTGATAAAAGTCATGTTGTTATAATGATGCTTGTTATACTCATTCTAAAAACAAAATGCAGTTCATTAAGAGCAATCTTGGCATGAGTGTCTGAATAATGAGGTATCCATAAATTTAACATATGCACTAATTCTCAGCTAAAAAAAATTCAAGATTTTAGAAAAAAATTTAAAAATGTTAATTGGTCAAAGAATACATTTTAGTATTTATTTGAAAAGCTCTTTCCAGAATCATGGCAGAGAACATCACACTTCCTACATGTGTAAACAATTTCTATTATTAAAATGTGGGCATTTTTGTTGGTGCAATACCAATACTTCTGACAGGGTTAGCAGCTTTATTAGACTTCCTGGCTCTCCTTCAACATCTTCCCACTTCTTTTCCCTGACATTCTAACATCCTCCTCAGTTCCTGCAAACCTCCCATTCACCTAGAGAAAACAATAAAGAACTACATCATAACAACAGGAAATTAGACATGGAACTTGTAGGTTCATCTTTCACAGGAAGAACTAAAATCATTCCACAGTCTAGGTCAATCTTATTGGGTGGTTGACAAGAAAAAGTAAGTCTTCTGTGGCTCAGAGCTCTCTATCAGGGCAGAATAGCTCCCCAGCAAATGGGTGGTAATCAAGTCTTCTCACACTGTAGGAGTGCTCTGAAGCCTAACTGAACCAGCCACACCTGAAAAGGATAGAAGGGTACCCTGACCAGTCTGTCTACATTATTTACTTACTTGGTTCTTTCTATAATTTAAAATTAGAATTTAAAATATTGGGCTTACTATCAATTTACATAATGAAAACACTGAACAAAATTCATCTCTTCCTTTAGGTGTTTTGTTCTATATTAAAATTCTGAATGCAACTATTTAGAAAACTGAAAAAAAGCTTCTGCATTTCTACATAAGTGGTAGCTTCATGGATCACATCCCATTTACATCTCCTAAAACCTATTCAGATCAAAAAGGAGAGAAAATCCGATAAAAAACACCCATAACCTAAGCTTAGATTAAAACTAGGAAAACAGAGTGGCAAACTCCCAACTGACATGTAAGTTGGGAGTATGAACACCTGAGCCCAAACTAGCAGAGTCCTACAAGAGCAATATGGAAGACAAGGGTGTGCAGAATAATATGGGTTAGAGTTCACCCCTGAAGGGTAGAGCCCCACCCCAAGAGTGAACTACTAAGGAAAGGTAAGAGCACTGGCAATGGGGTGGCTAAAAGGGTGGGCCTTGGAAAAGTACCAGGGTAGAAATGACAGGTAGGCATGATGCCTGGAAGTGATGGGGGGAGCACTTTGGGAGGCAGAGGTGTCCCTTGAAAGCAGCTTCTGGCAGCTATAAAGGAATGGAAGTAGCTAATGAAAGAGGCCCTAATTAAACAAGATGGAACTGAAGAATCAGAAGGTGCTAGGCCACATAACCACATATTAAAGAAATTGCTGTTACCATAACAACAGAAGAGAGGACCATTCAATCAAGAAACCACTAACTCCACCCAAACTTCTCCCCACTCTACCATGAGATCTACTAATAGCAGGTCCATAAAAACTCAACCAATAGAAATATAAATGGGAGAAACAGAATTCCAAAATCCAAATAAAGATATTATGAAACAAGTCTGGCAAATAAATAAGAAGCTAAACTGTCTAGCAGAAAAAAGTGTAATTGAAAAATTAAGTCATGAAGAATGGAAAACCTGTAATTCCCATATTCCAACATGAAGAGAAAATGCAACAGCAGATAGAAAAGAACACCAATAATCACAAATACAAAACTCAGAAATGAACAAATCTGAAACATAAATGAGAATACTCAAATATACTCAAGAAATATGCAAAATAAATTTGGAAACAGAAGGTTAACTTACAAGGTGACCAAAGGAAAAGCAGTATGACCAAAATTTCTAGTAGGGACATAGAGATCAGAAACAAAAGAACAAGAAAAAAATACATATATTTGGAACATATATATGGAATAATCCATGTATGAGATGATTCACTGTGACATTACTTCTCATAGCAAAAGACTGGAAATAAACACTATGTCCATGAATATTAATAATCTATACTGCTTTCACACAATGACAGTATTCAGCCATACAAAAGAACACGGAAGATATCTCTACACTGATATGATTTCCAGGATATAATGAAAAATATTTCCTCGCTCTGTCCCCCGGAAAAAGTCTGCATGCACTAACATTTAATAACAAAGGTCATACCTTGTACCCCAAACTGACTTTTAAAGATGCCACTTCCCCAATAATTTCTTATAAAAAAGGCTTATTTCAAGCCTAGAGTTAAAAATGCTCAAGGTGAGTTAAAAATTTCAAAATGTAAAATGAAGTGATGTTAAAAGTATACCAAGACTAATCAGTTTGAGTATTACTAAGAATAATGACTGTGAATCATACTCAATATATAAAAATCCATGAGTTCAAAATATTCAGAAAGAGGCAACCCCCCCCAAAAACAAAAAACTAAAATCCAAACTCAACTGTCACTATTGAAATTATTACATTAACTCCTTATTCTAAAATATTTAATTACATTTTATTGTGCCTTTTCAATAAAACTGTTTTACACAGTAATCAAATAGCAACCACTGATGAGGAAAAAGAACAGCAGGTATATGTAGAATGAACAGAAGAAATTTTTTTCCAAATCACCATTTTGCAATCCCCAGGGAAACAATGGATTCAGGTAAGGATATTAATGGATACAAAAAATCAGAAGAAACACAGATTAAGAGGTTTGGGGAAGATGATGGTGGCAGTGATACAGTTATTTTGTTTTTGCTTTTCTTTTCAATCTCCCTAATCTCTCCCATAAAACCAGAGCTAATTGGATGGGAAAATGGAAGACCTATAGATAACACCTTCAAAACTAGGTGACAAGATATCCCCCCACAAATCCTTCCATGTAAATGAAGAGGAACACACCACTGATAGCTAGAATACCTGGTTGGTACCTTTGTCAGTGGGTGAGGATGCAAAAGGAAGGCAACTGGGTTTCTTATAGTCCTGAGAACAAAGGAACCTCAAAACCACCAACCCACTGGAAAGCACAGGCTAATTTGAAAAGATAGCTAAAAGAGTTATTCAATTTGTAGGCAAATGCAAACGGATCATGATATAGTAAAGGCTCTGGGCCCGTAAAGCTCTTGAACACCAAAATTCCCTTTTAAAACTGAGGGGAAACTGCTGGAAATAAGGTCCAAATCCACCAAATCAAGAATAAAAAGGCCAAGAAAAACTCAAATAAATGTGGGAAAGGAGAGTAGAATAGGCAGTTTCAGAAAACACAAGGCTATATATATGTACATTTTTAAAAAATCATTTTGCAAAAACAAAAACAAAATGCAGAGAGCTTTCCTGAAGCATGAAAAAGCTGCCCTGGCCTATCTCTCCCTCTTCCAAACGTGAGAAAACTCATCTCACTTAAAAAAAAAAAAAAAAAAAGGGCACAACAGAAAAAGATCACAAACACCAAAAGAGTTACTAGAGAGGAATAATACGTGTGCGTGCACGTAAGAATGATGTCTCTATAGAGAATAAAATTACACCGAGAGATCTGTCAACAAAACATGAAAATTGTAACAAATTTCAAATGAAGCTAAAAATTTTTAAATAATAGTAGAGGCTATGAAAGGACAACTAAGTCAGAAATAAAATTTCAGAACAAGGGTAATTAAAAGGAAAGATTTTGGAAGATATGACAGAACTAAGGAATAACTGGAAATAAAAAGAAAATAAATCACGTCAAATTGAGGGAGCTAAAACTAATCTAGAGAACCATAGGACAAATTAAGCACAATGATATCATCACAGAAACAGAAGGTAAAAAACTTAAATTGAATCAGGAAGAAAAGAAGCCATGCCTGAGAGTCTCCTTCTCAACCCAGAGACACAGCTGGCAGGGCATTTCTGCCACAACTGGTGCTGGCCTGGTAAGTGCTGCCCTTCTTGTGGAGCCTCAGAGTCCCTCCTAGGCCAGAGACACCGAATGGCCATCAGCAACAGCAAGGGGATCCTGCCACAACAGGCACAGAGCCCAGGAAGAGCTCTCCAGCCCCATGGGCTTGAGACACCACGCAACTCCGCCTGGAGAAGCTGTTCATTTCACCTCCCTCAAGCAACACCATCATGGACCACAGGGAGCCCCCATGGAAGGAGATAAAGCAGAGCAGAATAGTGCCAAAGGCTCTGAAAGCTAAATTTGTTACTGGAACTACAACCCACAAAAAGTATGCCAGAACCTGCATGCTACACTTGAATAGGATAACTGCCTGCTACAGTAAAAAAGTGTAAACAGGACCCAGAATCTCCTAATGGACACAATGCCCAGGACAGTCCAAAACTACAACATGAAGGAAAGAAAATCAAGTGGTGTCAACACTGGGATGAATAAGATGTTGGA